TTCAACCATCACTCAAAAATTATGAACAAGGAATTTTTGTAACTAATGATTCGATGTTATACATATCATTGGCGACTCACGAATGGAAAATCTCACTGAAGAATTTTTGGAAGTATGGATGCCAATTTATTTTTCATCGATAGGTTCCTTTTCTGTCCATTCAACATTCAGATACTTAGCTCCAGTTTGATCTCATTATTCAAAAACTCATTTTTTTAAAATTCATTTTCACTGTTAATTCTTCAAATAAAATAATTTTACGTAAATTCAAATTTTTTTCCTACTTTTAACTACGATTTTTACAAATTCACTATTTCAAAATCTATTAACCCAAAAATGGGGTTTAATAAAATGCATTATCAATATTTTCAATTTTGACAATTTGATGTTCATAAACCACCTCATTTGAAAACCTTAAACGATTCGACATGTCGCTCAAGTGGATGCTAATATAAAATAATATACTTAATAAACGGAGAACAAAAAAGGAAATTATTATAAAATAGGTTATAGAATTGCAAAGCTAAACTATCATAATAATAAATTTACTTAGAAAAAATTGCAAATCAAGACGTGTAATACAAACTGTCCTTAAAATAGATTCGCCTTCATACAGAGCTTTATAGAGCGTTTGTCTTCCACAATACAATGACATAACAAGTAGCAAGCCGAGCACTAAGCTTCTATACCAACGAAATAAACCTCTTAACTATAGTTTCTCATTCATTATAGCATCATCTTGAGCATGTGATCAATATACAATTTTGATGTTTTGGTTAAGGAGAACACGAATCTACTTTAATCTTCAATGAAAAAATAGGTCCCACTCAAAATTATTGAAATTCAACAATTTCCAAAACCTTTCTTTTTCCTTTTTCTTTCTTTTTTTAATTGAAGGAGGACGGCACCCCCAAACATTAATAAAACCCTCGCTTATGACAAAGGAAAATCGTAGTTACAGTATTATAAAGACCATCCAAATAAAAAGTAAAACCTCAAAAGACACCGCTACTCATACCTCGATCTACAAATTCACTTCCTCAAATAAGCCACTCCCATTATATCCAGACAAAGTAAACCTTAAGCAAGCATCGGCAAAGCTGTTCAATTATAAAAACGTTTCGACATGCCCTTACCTCCCAACCCAGCTAAACAATCTTGCCACCTGTAAGGAATTATTGAGAGCAATTACTCA